TGATTCTCAAACTTTTCACAATGAGTACCACCTCATAGAATACATGGCTCTTGAAGCACCACCCTTGTGAACGACAAACAATGAAAAGTGGATATTGACCATCAATGATGGAATATTACAATTTTTGCAGCATTCACTGACAAAGTCAGCATACTAGTTGCATGATCACTGCAGCCTCCAGCATTCGTGGCATTACGCTTATGGTTGGTTAGGTGTTAGGATTATGGGTTTAAGGTCAGCATCTTACCTTATGTGAAATCATCACTTTTAATATAAGACTTTACAGGACAGCTTGAATTTTTACAAATATTTTAATTAGCCAAAACTCAGACAGTTTTTCATATAAATGTCCCAAATTACAGAAAAGATTCGTTTTCATGCTAAGACCAGGTAGTGATCATTCCAGGCCTTTATCGATCTTGGTTTTTCAGATATTCATGTTAAAAATAATTGCCTCATCCGGTTATCAGTCATTCCATTCACGTTCAGACTTTGCCTCTGTCCACTCAAGTAAAACAGGGTGGAAAGAGGCAATGTTCAAAACTATTTCTTATATAAAACTGAAATCTGCAACAATTATTTTACATATTCAGACTTTGGACCATAATAATTTTATGCAAATCAGAAATGGTCAACAAGAGAATGTTCAAAAACGTTGCTGATTGGAGATAGAATGACCCTAATAACTTTTATTTTATTTGTTTGATTAGGATATTGGGGGCTGTGCAGCGTTGTATCGCAAAGCAAACTTCTACAAGACCTGGAACGCTGTTCTGTGTGTTACCCAAATTAAATGCGAAATAGCACCAAAACCACTGAGCTCAAATATCTGCAATAATGCATCACAATCTTACATGAACACAAGTTGCTATCAGACGAATCTCTGTAAGCATTTAAGAAATCTTTTTAGCATATTAGCAAATCTTCCAGCTAACATGAAAAAGCATTATTCAGCACATTTATATAAACTGCTGTTTAAAACTGTTTTGCCCATGTGTGTACCCTGTATTTATCTACAGCAATGCTACAGTAAATTGTTAATTTACATTGCATACAGACTTACAGTGTTTTACATTATTAACACAATATTATACCAGTATGTCTGTTTACACCTCATCTGCTGATGAACACATTAAGAAACACTTGTGCCTGGTAACAATTAAAACTGCAGCTTTAATAACCTGTTTCTGTTAGCAGCCTGTGTACAAAAGGAAAGATGATAAATAGAGAGTCAAAGTCATTATTTATACTTTAGTCAGTATTTTTAACTGTAGAAAATATTTTGGAAGGCTAATAACATATTTCTGGAATATTTGAATTATATAAGACTTCAACTTAACTGGGTTACTGGATAATTTAGAAACGAGATCAAGCATGTTGGTGAGCATCTGAAGGGATAATAAGTGAATTTTGTGGCTGCTTCCTGTTATTCATTTTAGGCCTGACAGAGTAGCTGCTGTCCATCACGTGTACAGTGCATGATATTATCAGTTTACTTCTTTAAAAGAGTTAGAATATGTTCCTCTAAAAATCATAACTTTTGAAAAACAGTTTCTAAGACAAATGTAAATGTCAGAAACAATCTAAATAAAGAGAGAGCACATCTGCAGAGGGAACTACCTTGGACATATTTAATTACATATGTCCGTATTTTGTGGTTTAAAACCTATTCTGCCAACCGATTTGAGATCTACTCGATCTGAAGCAGTCTGATAACTCAGGTAAACATGATACTAAGATGCAAACTCAACAATTACAGACAAAAAGTTTTCTACGCAAAAATAAACACAGTAAAACAATTAAGAGTAATAAAAAAGTGATCATTTCACATGAGGTAGTCTGATACAAGATGCTGACCTTAAATTCATAAGCCTGGAGGCTGCAGTGATCATGCAATCAGTAAGCTGACTGTGTGAATGAATGCTGCAAGAATTGTAATATTCCATCACTGATGGTCTTTAGCTGCTCAATATCCACCTTTCATTGTTCATGGTTTTTGTTCACATGCTCTAGTAACTTCTTGTCCTCCTCTTCAGCTTCGATCACATCACATCTGTGTGTTTGTGTCTTTAATGTAAAATATCTAACATCAAACTAAACTTTGGAACAAACAGCGGTTCTGATCAAAAATCACCACATTAGCATGTTTCCATGAAAGGCTCAAAATAAATTTCCAACATGTAAAATCCCCTTGTCCTCTTATATAGTTGCTCAGCGTTCATTTTCTTGTGAAATTCTACAGAAAAGGGAAACTGAAGTTGTATTTTTGTCACGTAGACTGTCATGGACACAGTTATCCCAAGAACTCCAACGACTACCAGCAGAATACCATTCATCAAATAAATGGAAAGCGTTGATTTACACTTTTTACACGCTAAAATATGATAATTATCATAAATCTTACTTTAAAACTATCATCAGGCTTATAAGTAACAAATTTAAAGAACTTAAATTTTCTAGTAAGAAACTATAAAATAACATTAACTCATTACTGAAGACTACAGGAGCTATGAGTTTGAACTATTAAATTATTAACATCTATTTTGGTGAAGAGAATATTTCATACATCCCTCACCTTTGTCACAATTATGCTGCCCTAACACACTCAGAAATTAGTTTTTGAATGTGAAATATACGATTCACTAAATATTCTCAGACACTGTTTTAGTCATTGCATTCACTTTCAAACATTGTCTCTGGCCACCCATTGTTGCCTCGGGCTTAAAATTGGTGGATAGAGGCAGTGTTCAAAAAATGAATCCTAAAAATATTTCATATATGAAACTAAAGTTTCACAGGAGTCAATATATGACTTCAAATGCTCACTCCAAATAATGCTACAACTTGTTTTTTTGGGACACCACCTTGAAGTTGCCCTATGACATTGTCCCAACCCAGATCAGTCAGCCATGGCGTGCTATGTGAAGTCCTCAACTGACCACTGTAGCAGGGTCTATGCTCACAGGTACTGCTGATCAGGCACCAATCAATGTGCCTGATCAGCAGGTCTTCTGCGCTCTTCTGGACAGAGATCTCGGATGTCATTCCTGGGATCTGCTGGAGCCACTCGCCTAGCTTGGGAGTCACTACACCTTGTGCTCCAATTACCACTGAGACCACTGTTACCTTCACGCTCCACATTTTCTCAAGCTCTTCTCTTACTTTTTACGTATTGTCTGTTACATTCTACCTCTGGTTATAGCTTTCGACAATTACATTAATCAACAGTTACAGCCAATTACTGCAGAACTGTAGTTTTATCAGTTAAACAGGTAAAAACGATGTATGGATGTTTTATTAAATGCATAATTAGCAAAAAATTTTTTTAATTCCAGCGAGCCACAATTTTGCAACTCATAAAAACAAAGTACTAAACAACATGTCATAATGTAACTGGGATTATAGGGGTGATAATAGTGGATTAATAGTTAATTTATAAATTAGATGTTAATTAATTGCATGTGTAAGTGGATTTTGTTGTTATCATATAAAGCTGCACTGTCTGTTTCCTGCTTTATAGCTAAGGTAGACTAATTTATTGTAAGATGTGCTGTCAATTTACTTCTTCAAAAAAAAGAGGATATGTGTTCGAAAAAATTGCATCATAGTATCTGTTAGTAGTTTCTTAGACAAGTTTTCAGAAGTCAGATCTAGAAAAACAAAACAAAACAAAAAAACATGAGAGCACATTTGCAGAAGGAATGAAAATTTGAATTTGTGTAATAGCTTGTATTATTATTATTCTACTAAAACAGTGCGATTTGAAAAATATAGTGAAATCTACAGTCTACAGTATACAGTATGTCTACAGTAATCTACAATCTATACAGTATGTGGTTAACTACATCTGTACAATAGTCATGACAAAAAACTAGCACCGGTTTAAACTTTTAGAAGCATCAGGATAACTGATTTATGAGAAAATGTCATTTCAAGCAAGTCCCTAGACCAGGGTTCACCAACCTTCAACATCAACAGGGACATTTTAGCCCCTCCGACCGTATTCTGGGACAAAAACAGCCGCATGCGCACTCGTGCTTATGTGTCTGTAGTGCGGCCGGGGGGGGTGAATAGTCCGTTTATACCTAATACAAGAATAATAAGATTTCTTAATAAGATGAAGAGCTTTTTACTTTCAAGAACTGTTTTATAGATGCTATGAAGAGGAGGGAAAAAAAATTGGAAATTGGAAAATTCATCAAATAGAAAATAGTCCACTTTCAAATAAATAAAACGCAGCAGTGGCCGAATAGTTTTAAAGTAAAAAGAATAATCGTGATAACTATTTGTCTGTAATTATCACTTCAGTTCATTTTAATGTGCTGTCATCTTCTGTTTTTCATCAAGCCGCAGGCAGCAATCAACCGTCCAGCCCTGGGCGTAAAAAAAATACAAAAGCTGATGGTGGAAAATATACATAGATAGTTATTGAAAAACACCAGAATATTCTGTAACAATCCAGCTCACAAAACCTTAAATACATGTGGACGAATCACCGGATACACACAGCTCGCGTTGCATGCCCACGTGATGTTTCGATGCACATTTAAGGCTGCCAGCTTCGCACAGATCCACAAAAGTCCAGTATGAAACAAGTATGTGCAAATCTTTGCTTGTGGGTCATGTCGTAATGGCAGATTTAGTGCTGCAGATGTAACTCGCACTCACTTGTGTACAGAGAGGCCGTCTCTGTTTTCCCCACAACATTCAACCTGTGGCACGGAATACATTACCATCAGGCTGTCTTCTTAAAGCAGGCTATCCCTGTAACATGCAAATTTTTCTTACTTTTATTTTTTCCGCCCAAAACTTGAGGGAGCCACAGCTGAGGACGAAAGAGCCACATGTGGCTGCCGACCTCCATCCTAAATCAAATTACTAGTTTTCACAGAAACACGAACAGATGTCAATGGCCCAGAATTCAAGGCAGAACTGATACACCCACAGCAAACATTACGTATTCAAAGTCAGTTTTTTGAGGCTATAAAAGAGAAGTCAGACAGATCAGTAGGCATTACAACCAACACTGCAGTCATGGATAATCCACAGAGAAGGCCAAACGAGAACAATGACACACCGTCCAATGATATATTTAGGCAAGGTACGAGTTTCTTCCACAATGACTCGTTTAGCCATCACTTTTTCTCCTCTTTTCTTTCCATTTCATCTTTTTTTTCCAGGTAGTTTCCTGAAGTCAGTGTTGCCTATTTTAGTGGAAGAACATTAGTTTAAATCATTCTTAAATATTTGCTAAACCTGTGTGCTTTTGTAGGATGCTTGCATATGAAGTTGTATTTGTATGAGGTCAGATAAACCTAAATATAGCTACAGTAAATAAGATGTGTTTTCTAATGTAGCTGGTTTGTGGCTTGACCGCAAACTCATTGCAGCTGTGAGGATATACAGTTCACTTGTTCAAGCATGCCTACAAAGCAGAAGAAGCTAAGAAGGAAAATGTAAGTCAATTGTGTTTTCTGCCAAACATTGAAACATTACAATATTTTTATGTTTATTTACTAAAGGTGGATCAACAAAGTACCCACCGATTATACCGTTCCTTGGATTGCTGAACGCTGTGCTGTTGATAACGGCTGTTGCTATTGGAGTTAACTGTGAGTGTGAAAATTCACATTAAGTTTCGTTTCCCACTTTTTTTAATTTGGAAACTTACTGATAAACTGCTGATAACACACTTTCACTATAAGATTTTAGAGTAATCATGTTAACACAAGCAGTAACACATCTTTTAAATAGAAAATGTTCTAGTTTGTTGATTAAAAAACTATTTTAGTTCCTTCTAAACAAAACTGTGTCAAGCTTATTTTCCAGTATTTTGAAATGTGATTCAACTATTGATATTTTGACACAAACATTTTCAGGTGCCAAAGTCAAAGAGGGCTCCTTGCACATTTCCAACCCAGCTGTAACACAGCTCTTCAGTGAGCTCGACTATCTCCGAAGCAACCACAGCGATGTGATCGAAGCTGAAGAGGAGGCCAAGAAGGCGTTAGAGAGCGCGATCAACAACCACAAAGAAGTAAAGGTGAAAATTGAGCAGCTGAAGACCGTCAATGATGGTTATCAGAAACAGATGCAAGCACTGCAAGTGGAGAAGGCAAACCTGAAGTCCAACATATCAGTTTTAGGTGAGAAACTTTTATCCTTATTTATGTTTTCCTGAAATGTGTTAACTGGAAAAGACGATAACTCTTTGTTTCTCTCAGAGGGATCTTGCGGCGGATGCCTCCCTGGTTGGGCTCTTTTCAACTCGTCCTGCTATTTCTTCTCCTACACCGAGTCCTCTACTGTCAAAAAGAACTGGCATGAGAGCAGAGAGGACTGTGTTAGTCGTGGCTCTGACCTGGTTGTGATCGATAACCAGGAAGAGCAGGTGGGTTGAAAACAAACAAGGATGACTGTAAAAAATAGGTCAGATAGACAGAAAGTCTACATGCCTAAGAGACCACAGAGAGTGATTAACATGGATTTAAATTCTGCTAATCGTAGAGCTGATTATAAAGTTCATATCGAGTATGTTTATCTTCATTTAGATGTTATTACCCAAGAACCAGCTGTTCTTTCTGGGTCAGCTTTTAACAGAATAGACATCCAAAACTCAAACTACATGCAGTCAACAAATACATTTAAAGAGAAATATATGTTATTAAAAAATCAAGTAATTAGCAAAAAACAGCAAACAGTCATGTCAACATGCTATAATCTGCTTCCTGTTAATAAACATAAGGTACAGGTGATGGAAAAATTAAAACATGTTATGTAGTTTATTTATTTATATATATAGCACATTTAATTACAACAGTAGTGTTGACCAAAGTGCTGTACAAACATACAAATTACACAATAAAATAATGAATATCATTAACATCAATGCCAAATAACAAATAAATAAGTAAATAACTCTCATGCAGCATTAAAAGCCAATGAGTAGAGCTGTGTTTTAAGATAGCATTTAAAAAGATTGAGGGTAGGAGCCTGTCTGATGTGGAGAGGCAAATTTAGGCAATTTAGGCACTGAAACCTCTCGAGAACATGGTGACTGTATAGAAATTGCAGCTGAAAAAATACATTCTTTTCTAAAATTATTGACAGAAAGGGAAGCTTTGAAAGAGGCCTGAAGCTTGCAAGAACAGAGGAATCGAGATTAGTTTCTTTAATCACAGGCTGCACAACACCTGAGTTAAGACTGCTATTAAAACTGACCACCTTGAGAATCTTTTTTAAGAAATGTGTTGGAACAACATCATTTGGACAAGATGATGTCTTTATGTCATTACAAAGTTTTTCCACCTGATCAAATCACACAGACTCGAACTGCTCAAAAACAGTAGAGCAGGTGAATGTAATGTAGCCACAAACTGGCACTGTACACGTCAAGGTCGTGCCCTGAAAATGAGTTAATTTCTATATTGGTTGTTATAATTAGGTCATTTGAAAACTTTATTTTAGGTGTTAACTGATTCTTTTTTTCTTCTTTTTCTTTAGAAATATGTGAGTAACATAATCCAAAATATGAAAACCAGTGATAGTAAGTGGGAGAATGGATTCTGGATTGGACTCACTGACATGGAGAACGAGGGGAACTGGACATGGATTAATAATGTCACAGAGGTGCAACAAAGGTGAGAAGAGCACCAATCATTTCTTCATACTTTTATGTTAAATAAATTAATTTTATTATATATATTATCAATCAAAAGTTTTAGACCATGTCATGGTGCTGGGTTGGTGACCCGGCGTTTCATGTTTGTTATTCTTCTTGTTGTGGTTATTATCTGACGATTTGATGTTTTTTATGTATTCTAGTTGAGAGGTTTTCTTCCTGTGCCTCCTTTGCTGTGTGCCTAGTTATCTGTCAGTGTGCTCCATCTGTGCTCTGTTTCATTTCCCTGAGTCTGTGTCTGTAGTCCAGCCTGTGGGTTCCGGTTTTACTTTTAGGGTCTGTGTCTCTTGTCTCCTCATGTTAATTAGGATCAGCTGTGCCTCCTGTTTGCCATTCCTTGTTGTTCCTCTGTGTGTGTACTTATAGTGTGAGGTTGCCTTTGCTCGTTGTCGGTCCGTTTGCGTTAGTTGCTGTTTCTCAACATGTCTCTGCTCAACATTCTCCGTTTCATCCCTGCCTGTCTCGCCCCATGTTCCCGTGCCTTTTGTCTCCTCATGCTTCCAGGTATCCCAGTGTTTAACCTTTTGTGTTTCAGTTTGGGTTTGTATGAGGTTAGTTTTCCCAGTTTAGGTTTTGGAGCCCCCCGTTCCTTTTTTCCTGTTTTTGTCACTTTGCCATCACTGTAAATAAACGATCACTCGCATCACAGCCTCTGCCTGCATTTTGGGTCCTTCCTTCACAAACACCACATGACTGCCGTAGCAGCCATGACAGTCCACCCCAATTTTTCCATTTTTTTATTGAAAATTATACAGTTTCATGTGTCATTGCACTCTGAAATGAAAGCATAGTATAAATAAGCAATGGGACTTCAAAATCATAGAATCAAGTTATAGACGAAAATTGATTTTTTACTTTTGACTCATCAAAGTAGCCATCTTTGGCGGATATAACAGCTGTGGCATTCTTTCTACAATAGAACTCAAAATTCTTCAGAAAGTTCTTCCCATGTCTCTTACAGTTTCCATGAATGTGTGGCACTTGTAGATTTCTTTGCTTTCACTCTTCTGTTCAGTTCATCCCAAACTACCTCCATGGGGTTTAAGTGTAGAGGCTGTGCTGGCCACTCCGTGTTTTCAAGCTTGTTCTTTTTTTGCCTCTGTCAGTGCGCCCCAGGGTGGCTGTGGCTACAATGTAGCTGCCATCACCAGTGTGTGAATGTGCGTGTGAATGGCTGGGTGACTGGACGTGTAAAGCGCTTTGGGGTCCTTAGGGACTAGCAAAGCGCTTTACAAACACAGGCCATTTTTTCCTCAGGTAATTCTGGCATAGCTTGGAATTATGTATTGGTCATTATCTTGCTGTAGGATGAACCCCTGACCAACTAGGAGCATACCAGAGGATATGGCATGGCGCTGCAGAATGCTGTGGTAGCCATTTTGGTTCAGGGTGCCTCTCAATCTGTACAATTCATCGACCCTGGATCCAGCAAAACAGCCCCGGACCATCACACTTCCTCCTCCATGTTTGACAGTTGATTCCACACACTGGAACCATCCTTTCACCTACTCTACGCCATTCAAAGATCCTTTGTGATGAACTAAAGATTTATACCAGACTTCAGTAGTCCAACGGCGGTGTTTCATGGCCCATGAAAACCTCTTTGTCTTATTCTGACGTCTAAGCAATGGCTTTCTTGCAGCAACTCATCCTGTCAAACCTGCAGCTTGAAGTCTTCTCTTCACAGCTGAAACTGAGACTTGCTTACTACAACCACTATTAAGCTGTGCTAGAAGCTGTTGTCCTGTGAGCTGCCTATCACACAAGCTGTTAACTCTGAGAAACATGTCCTCTGATTCAGTTGTGGCTTTGAGTCTGCCAGACCTCTTCCTGTCAGAGTTTTCCTCAGTTTCTTGCCTTTTGATGGTGAAGCAAACTGTACTCACTGACACCTTGACTTTCTTTGCAGTTTCTCTTTGGGAAAGACCTACATTTTTAAATGTTATGATGATCTGTTTCTCTTCCATTGTTAATTGCCTTTTTCTCACCATTTTTGTAGCAACACACTAATTTCTCCAATACAGTACTGTTCAACTGATGCTCACGAGGTAATGATACCACAATGTGATCCAACACCGCTTTTATGCAGACAGAGGTGGTTGTAAGTAATCCAGAAAAGTTGGAACACCTGTAGGAATTAGTAGCACCAGTTTCCAAGGCTTCATCAACCTCTGTTTTGGGTTCCCTGATAAAGGCCTTTCTGTATAATTCTAAAATGTACATTGGGTAACCTTTTTTTTTTTACCTCTGACAGTTCACCTGATGTGAACCTTTGTACCAATCCAAACTATTCATTGGACTTGAATGACTTGAATTGCAATAAATAACTGAAAATATTGGGTGTTTTAAAACTTTTGACCGGTAGTGTGTGGTTTGAAGTTAACAATACATGATGCAATTTTCTTAGGTACTGGATGGATGGAGAACCAAACAACGGCGGACATTTTGGAGAACATTGTGGGGTTGCAGTTCACTCCGCCTTTAATCCCTGGAAGACCCGCTATGATGGAAATTGTGACTTGAAGCAGTTGCACTGGATGTGTGAAATGTAAATAAGAAAAACTCTTCTCACTCCTGATATGATGCTAAAAAAGCATTTTTAACAAGAAATATTTTATCAGTTTTTGGGTTATTTTTCATATTCAGAGTCTACAACAGTGCAGTTAACATTCTAATTACTTTAGAGGTCTGTGTGAAAATTATTTGTTATTAAAAGAAATTCCACTAAACCTAAAGCCAGCCTGGTTAGTATCAAGAAAAAAACTATTATAATAATAATTAACATTATTTTGGAAGTAAAAGCATATAGAGTAAATGCTATGCAATAGACAAGTTGACATTAAACTGTAACACGTATACCGTATGTTTTTTATGTGGATCTACTTTTTTTGCTATGGTAATTGTTTGATATGCTTGTTCTTGTGTCTTTTAATCGTGTATTTCTGTTATTTTTCTAAATGAATAAGGACAAATGTGGAAACATAAATATGGATGGTTAGGTTCATTGGAATTTGTAGGCAGCACAGAAAACATCTGTGAACTAAATCTGATTTTGCTAACAAACTTGGCAAGTTGCTCTGAAGTCATGGCAAAGGCAAAAAAGAGAGACTGTTATTAAATGAATTTGATACAATCAATGTACACCCTTCATAAGTTTCCAGTCCATAACTGACATAAAGAGAGAAACAACCCTTCACACTCTGCTGATCTAAACCAGAGTACCTGCAGAACAGGGACCGCTGCACTGTGCTGTACCCAAAGTGGACTATGTATGATCATTGTATTTTATTATAATTATACAGCACAGAAGAAGGATCCTTGCACCATGAAAATGGCCTAGGATTTTATCAAAACTAGGCCACACAGCCATGGCAGCAAGACAGGTGCAGATAGAAATGCTAATTAAGAAAAAGTTTATGAAGCATGAAGAAGAAACTCAAACTCACAATGTAACTGTCAGTGGTGCATGAAGAGTTGGTGGATGCAGTGTTAGGTGCACAAGAGCAAACCAAACAGCAACCAAACTGCAGATGTTGCTCAGGGAGGAGAGGAAACTTAGCGCATGTTTGAATTCATGGCACATGCCAACAATTCATTTTTACATGAACATAATGTACTAACCAGTGCTGAACGTGGGCTTCATTTCTTTTGGACTTACTACATCTTATCTGTAGAAAGTACATTTCGTTTATGCAAAGATATTTTGACTTCTTCCTTTAAAAAATTCTAACTAAAATTTAACTAAAAAGGAATTTATCATTCAGCTCAGCAGTAGTGCCTTATTTTAACTCAGGGAACTAGAACTCTTGCACTGTCTCACCATAAACGTCCTGTTTCCATGAAGATTCATCCCATTTTCTGTATGTCACACTTAAAATCTTTCAAGTGCAGCTGACTGTTAAATCTTAAAAAGCGCAGAGCACTGAGTTTACAGAAGAAGTTTCAAGCCACACAAATAGCCTTTAAATCTAATCATGTATGATAATTATTTTAAATGACTGATCATTGATTATGCAGCACTATAGAATTGACTAGACTTTCAGCACATTCCTTGATTTCTTATAGAAAGTCAGCATATTACGATCTTGTGTATCATCAAATTAAAGGTTACACCAGAGATTACTTTACTTTTATTTTTGATTCACTTTTGTCACTGATAAAAGTTTGAACTGGAATTCAGTGATTAAGAACTAATCAGCAGTGAGTTGTGTCGACACAGCAAAGTGTCTTGCCAGATATGCATGTGACTGATATCAACTACTGGTTGTAATTTTAATGGTGGATTTGATTCACTCTTTTATCAAGAAGATGTGTGTGCCATCCTCCTTACCTCTTTTTAAAGCCATTGTTGAAAATTTATGGCAGTTACATAAGAACACAATTAAAATCCATCTAATAACATTCATATATTTGACGGTCTGAGGTGTAACCCGGAGCGGTCCTCAGCAGGAAAAGGGTGGAATGCCCACTCCTGGTCAGGAACAAGTCAAAGATCCTCGTCACCTCCAAAGCCCACCAGCGGAGCCTCTGCTTCACAACAGCAGCTGTTATTTTTAATTTTTAATATAATTGTTCTGTCCTGTTTCAAATTAAACATTTTATATGGAGATATTACACTCTGACTTTTCTTCACCCTATACTTCATTCTGCTCAATAAAATGTTAATATTGTCTTAAACAGTAATGATTTTATTTTTATACTATAAAATAAAGCTATTATCTCTATATGAATACATATTAGCATCATGAAGACAGCTGTGCTGTGCAACCGATTGAAAGCAGAAAATGTAATGCTAGGTGGTTGTTGCCAGTGTGCCCTCACTCGATGATCTTGTTCTGTATTTAATGATGCGTTTGGCACCAAACTCAGGATGTTGATCCAACCGTCAGTAAAAGTGTTTTCACTTGTTCCCAGCAGAGGGCAGTGCAAGACAGTCAGAGTTTATGTGCCTCTTTCCTCTGTTCCCTTGACTATGATGCTTTAATGCAGATCTTCCCAAAGTGTGGGGCGCAGAGCCATTGCAGGGGGGGAATGAAATCACGGACAAACAGTATCCCACAGTTGTTTATGTTGTTGTTTATGTTTTTAAGCCCATTTTTCACAGAGAGGTATTTTTTGAAAAATGTATTGACATTGACATTTGCCGTGTTGTGGCGTTAACGTCATTTCAACGAGATTAACGCTGACAGCACTAGTGGGAACACAACGAATATGACTGCACATTTAC